GTTGCCACTAGACACGTATACTACGGGAGTACCATCTGGAACTGCGGTGTTACCATCTTGGATTTAGGATATTAGTAATGGATTGAGTTCTGTGGTTTTAGTGTTGGATGTTTTACTATGGTTTATATGTTTTTACCTATGGCATGGCAAATGACCTTGCCCTTGTTAGCCGCCCTGAGCCCACTGGGGAGGGTGGGATACAAAAATGAAAAATAAATCAATAAATACCGTCTACAGTTCTGGTCAACGTATCTCCAAAAGGACGCTACAGAGCTGGGGAAAGTACAGAGGAGGGCAACTGAGATGACTAGGGGGCTGGAGCGCCTTCCCGTTGAGGAAAGGCTGAAGAGTCTGGGACTTTTTAGAAAAGAGACGACTAAGGGTGGGGACATGATAGAGGTTTATAAAATTACACCTGAGCTGGAGACAGTTGACAGAGAGAAATTTTTTCTCCCTCTCCCAAAACACTAGAACCCGAGGGCGTCCAATGAAGCTGATGGGCAGTAGGATCAAGAGGACAAAAGGAGATACTACTTTATGCAGGGAGTGATTAAAATGTGGAATTCGCCGCCAGAGGAGGGAACGAAGGCCACAGGAATAAACAGCTTTAAAAGGGGATTAGATTGATTCATGGAGGAGAAGTCTATCAAAGGCTCCTAGCCATGGCAACTGAGGGGAACCTCCACATTCAGAGGCACTCAGCCTCTGAATCCCAGAGCCAGGAGGCAACATCAGGGGAAAGCTTCAGCCTCTATGCCCTGTTGTTGACCATCCAGAAGAACTGGTTGGCTATTGTGTGAGACAGGTTGCTGGACTAGATGGACCACTGGTCTGATCCAGCAGGGGTCTCCATATGTTCTTAATGACCCTCCTACCTTCCAATTTAAGCACTAACAGTTGCTAGGAGGTCAGTGCCAGCTACTGAGACAGTTCCAGAGATTTTACACTCTGCTAAAGTCTTTCCCGGAGCTGCGGTGGCTCAAGTGGTTGAGACGCTGAACTGCAGGCTGTGGAAGGTCAGTAGTTCAGCGGTTCGAGACCCGGGTGGGCCGCATGACGGAGTGAGCTCCCGTCTCTAGTTCCAGCTCCTGCCAACCTAGCAGTTCGAAAGCGAGAAATTGCAAATAGATAAATAGGCACCCCTTCGGTGGGAAGGTAACAGCGTTCCGTGCGTCTTGGTGTTTAGTCATGCCGGACACATGACCATGGAGACGTCTTCGGACAGTGCTGGCTCTTCGGCTTTGAAACGGAGATGAGCACCGCAACCCTAGAGTCGGATTTGACTGGCTTTCGAGCAAGGGAGACCTTTACCTTTACCTAAAGTCTTTCCCACTCCAAATCTACTAAAGAAAGACTGAGGACAACCCGCATTTTTTAAAATTTGAGCATTAATCGTCCAAGAAAATAATACAGAATGTGGCCACGAGGATGTGAGCGGACAGTGGACATACACAGCAACATGCAAAGAAAGTTTGATTACGAAAGCACTGCAGTACCTGGGGCACCGATCCCCTCCCCACAGCAGAGGTATTAGTGAGAGACGGAGCAGAAGACAGATTGGATGAGAGAGGGTATTTATAATGGTTAGAAGACAGTTTGTCAGTAGATAACCTATTGGCTTTTCGGTCTGCTGGCGGACAGCGTGCAAAGATTTTCGGAGACGGCAAGTTATCGTACAGGCCCATGTTATCATAGAGCTCATCTTCTCCTGTGCTTCTGCTACGAGAGTTAGGAAAGCCATCTTCCGGTTCCCACTGCAACACACATACTTAGTAAGTCAGCACAGAGTTCATGCATTGGAGGGAAAAAAATAAATTTTTTAGAACGTTAGCAGTGAGGAAGCCCTCTCGGCATATACCGCCCCCTCCTTCACGAACTCCTTGTTTTATTCAAAATGATAACCTGCTCTTGTTTCAACACATGAAGTTACAGACATTGTGCACTGAACATAATGAGAACTAATTTCTGGAACATTTCCCCTGTCTTTGAGAACTACTTCAAAATTGCCCTTCCTCATTCTGGAATCTCTGAGTTTGGAATCTCTCTCTTACAATGTGCCTGGGTAAAGGAGAAGGTCTGTTGTCGTATTTGCAGAGAATGCTCACTCCCAAGTTGGCCACACCCAGCAGGAACTCATTAGCATAATAGACCACACCCAATAGCAGAAACTCATTAGGATTGGCTACATTAGGGGTGTGTGGCCTAACATGCAAAGGAGTTCCTGCTACAAAAAAAGCCCAGGGTTTTGACAACAAACAAGGTAAACAGAATAAGAAGCAAAAGGATGGTGTGGCTGGATGGCCACACTTCTGGTAACATGGGGCTGTTGCCTAATGTGCTAAGGAGCGGTGCTGTCAGGGTGTGGCCTAATATGCTAATAGGTCATTTCGTAGAAAAAGAGCTAGGGGGACTCATTAGCATAACTCATTAGCATATGCCACACCCCCTGACATCACCGGAAGTGTGTCCTCCCCACAGCCGGCGGCGACCTCCAGCGGGCACCAGCAGGGAGCTCCAGGCCCCGCCCTCCCGCACCTCACCCGGGGGGATGGCGTCCCCCCCAAAATGACCCCTGGGTGTGGCCTATTATGCTAATGAGTTCCTGCTGGGCTTTTTCTACAAAAAGAGCCCTGATATTCAGGAACATTGAACAGAATGCTGGACTCGAACTAGGCCAATCTGAAATAAAACCTAAGGTCAAGTCCCTTTTCAGCCAAGTGGCCTTCAAGAACTCAGACTTTCTTAGCTTTACACGGAGTAGTCGTAAGCTTCCCCATGCACACTCCCTTTACACTCACTGGAAAGAGGGCTGGATATAAAGGAGATTGATAGATAAAGCATCTTCATCAAATACAAATACCCCCCTCTATTTTCTCAAGAAAAATACTTTTTAAAGCTCCAGCGATTCACAGAGAAATCACATATGAATAAAAGCAATTATTTATAACCTATTTACAAGCAATTCCGTACTTTATCTGATGATGCACAAAACTCTCAGAATTCACCTCTGAAGAGGGGATTAGGTTTTAGGTACAGCAGCAATAAGAGCGCCTTGGTCTCTCCCCTTCCCCACGGTCTTCCTGGGAAGTTTGCAACAAGGGCAAGAGTGCATGAAGGCAGACAGGTAAAGGACCTAGCAGAATCCTCCAACTTAGCTGTCATGCATTTTGCACAGACTCAAACTTCTCACTTTCCCAAGGGAGCTGTATTAATTCTGTGGCTCAAACTAATCCAAAGCACTAGAGTACATTATATTCACACGCATTATACAGTAAGGAAATGTGCCCACAGGAGATGCAAAAGCAATGCTCTAGGACTCTGCTCAGGGGCACTCGATTAAAGGGTGTCCTAGGTTGCGGGAGCTCAACGTGTATAAACAATTTGACCTACACAAAAATCAATTCTTACTGATCCATTTATGCAAGGAACATCGTCATAATGAAGTGCCATTCCGCTGGGGCACGCGTAGCCGTTGGCCGTATTTCCTCGATACGGATTAGTCGAGACAACCCGTCTGTTCATAAAGCTGAAACAACAGGGGGGGAAACCAGAATCGATGCTTAGTTAAGGAAGAAAGCGCCGAAAGGGTGCATGCACGATTTCCCCATCCCAAATTCTTCCTTGCATTCACTCCACCGCCTTCTAAAATACTTTACGTCAACAGGAACGAAAAGAAGCCACATCACAGTATTTCAGATTGAAGTTTCAGTCACACGTACAGCTCACGATCTGATGAGATTGGCCTAGCCCGGCCCACCCTAAGTCTGCTTAATTCTGCGAGGGGGGCACAGATCAGAGGCCACAAGAGTACGGCCTCGGGATCTTTTTTTCTCTCCCTTCCCCCTTTTTTTTCTTTACATCCAGCTTGATGAAATGTTCCGGGGGAAGCTGAAAGCTGCACTGTGTTTACATCATTTGGCTGGTCTTACCAAAAGGAATCACACTGTGTTCTCTGGGCCACCCTGGGAAACCTGGAACCTCTATCTCTTGAAAGAGGATATCACTCCAGAAGGAACACAGGTGCTTTCTGGAAATGAGTGCTGGCTGTGGCAGGTAGTACAAGGAAAAGAAAAGCTCTCTGGCTGTCCCGATCACATGCTGCAGGTTCAAGAGAGCAACAGCAAGGAGGAAATGGGAAGCACTCACGGAAACAGGTTCTTTAATCATCTAAAGTACCTCTCTGTGCGGTCTGTGAATGACACACCCATCTGTCCAGGTGAGAACAAAAAGTCTAAGTTTGATCTGAGAAGGTGGGACGCCTTGTGGATCGGACAAAAAAGGAAGTTTGGAGCTGACTAGCAGGGGGGCTGTTGGTTTAGGAGAGGCATGGAGCTCCCCCTCCCTGGAAGTCTTAAAGCAGTGGCTGGATGAACACTCATCAGGGATGCTCTAGGTTTCAAACATGCGGCCCGGGGGCTGGATCAGGCCCCCGGAGGGCTTCTATCAGGCCCACAGTGGAACTGGCTGTCTTCTGCTTCTTCTTCCAGTTCTGCTGCTGCTGTGTCATCATAGGTTTGCAGCTTACAGATACACACCTGAACAGCATACTCAGGATTGCAACAGCACAGACATTTTGAGGCAATAATTCAGAGCAAGAGGTGTCAGTGATCAGACACTGTTAAATAAACAAAATATTGCAAGGAGTGCTAATGTTTTATGCAATTTTATTTTTTATTTTATTTTATTTTAAGTAATTATTTTAAGTAAAAAAACCGCCTTTGTGTTTGTGTCCTTTATAAAGTTTATATCTCCGCTACCTGGCATTACCTTTTATGACACACGTGGCCCGGCCCAACAAGGTCTCATTTATGTAAAATCCGGCCTTCATAACAAATGAGTTCAACACCCCTGCTCTAGGCTGACCCTGCATTGAGCAGGGGTTGGACCAGACGGCCTGTCTGGCCCGTTCCAGCGCTATGATTCTATGGCTGCGATCCCATGCTCCTTTAGAGCCAACGTAGATGCGAATGCCTGACGGATCTAAAGGGACTGATCAGACAGCAACATCTGGGAAGCGTCCTGCAGTCATCAGCGACCCATGCTGTTCCACCACAGAAGCGGAGTTAAAAGACACCGGGGAAAGTCCGATGTTATCCGGATAAGGCAGGCCACGGGTGGACGTCCCCCTGTCTGATCACTCAAGCATGCTCTCATGCTGTCGGGATGGTCTGATCAAGCTATCCTAAAGATGTGAAGGCCCAGAAAAAAACCGTAAAAATTCGGGGGGGGGGGGGGAACGGGGTTTTTTCTGGAACCTTTCCCCCCCCTCCCCCAAATTGGAAAAATTGAAAAAAGAAAAGAAATTGATTATGGAACGTTTTATTTTAACATGATGAATAAACTATTTTAAGGTGTTCAAATATTTTCCAAATCATTTCTAAAATATATATATATGGTATCAGATTGATCTAATTTCTGTGAACTGAGGACAAGCAAGTCCTAGGTTACAAACTGAACTCTCCAATGCAAGAACAAGTTGCATTTCTTCCTTTAGGAGGTGCGATTGTCAGAAGAAAATAATAAGGTTTCAGTTTTGTTTTTGCATGTGGGTGGGTATTCTGTTTGTAATAACTGTTTGGATACACTATATTCTTAATATGCTAGTTGTGATCATTTCATGCCAAGTAAAAATGTCCATAGTCATATTTTATGTTCCTAAAGTAACAGAATGACTTTCAATCTAGAAAAGACAAAAGAAATGCTAATGTAGCATTTTTTTCAATTTTTCCAAAAATTTCCATTCCCCCCCCTGAAAAAAATGGGGAAAAAACGGGGTTTTTTCCCGA